AATCCCCAGGGTGACTCGGGGAGCCTGTCCCGTCCCTTTGGGCCTCGTGCGCTTCGAGGAGGCCTCGAGCTCTGCGGCCCCTGTGCTCAGAGCTGCCAGAACGGGCAGGTCCTTCCCCGGCTGCTGCCCAAACAGCACCAGAGCCCCCAGGTTAGGGGCAACCAGAACCCAGGCCCCCACGGGTGGTCGATGTGGCCAGAAGAGGTTGTTCTACCTCAAAACACACAGGACGTTTCTGTTAGCGGCCTCCGGGCCCTGCTCAGGCCGTGCTTAGAGGGATCTGCCAGGCTCAGGCCCAACATGGCGGCACTTTGAGAAGGACCCAAACGTGATGGAAAAAGCACTTGGCTTTTGTCAGACAGGACGGGCCAAAGGTAAATAGCAATACTATAACTGACTTCCATTACGGTATTTAATAGACATTAGCAGACAGGCAACGGAATCTAGTCATTTAAGCTGAGTTGGACAGAGTCCCGCGAAAGAAAATACGCCCGCAAAGAGCAGAAATCTGGGTTTGAAAATAGGAACCAAAAAAAGAAGCAAAAACCTGGTCACCAACTACAGACTAGTCCATAGGAAAGACTGACTGCTGTCATCGTTTCCTGCCTGGCCATTCATCCTTGGCTTCTATTTATTCCTGTGTCCAACTGGATTCGCTCCCTGGTTACTCTTACTCCTGGGACCATCAGTCATGGATGGGTGGTCTTCATCCTCCTTCAGGATTTCCGAATCTGCACCTTCTTTTTGCCACCCAGTGATTCATCATCAACAATTTCATTCGATGTCCCTATGCATACAAAGGTTCATTTAAAGGCAACCTTCCTTTGAGGCAGCAGATGCAATAATTCATTTAAGGAGGTTTGAGTCCTATGAATTTTACAACAGTATTAGCTTCAAAATATGTGTTCTGTGAAAAGCAAAAAAAAAAAAACCCCAAATGGGCTGATTGCAAAACTCATTTCTTTCCTTTTTTTTTTCTCTTTTTTTTTTGAGCTGGAACTGTTGCTTCTCTGGATCAACTGAATTGAGAATTTTCCCTTCCTTTCTTCAAATTGCTGATTTTTCGGTAAAGAGAAACTAAGAATAAAAAGATTAACATTGTATCACAGGTCACTGAACTCTGGAGCATTTTTTGCATATTATGGGGCATATTATTAACAACCCAGGCAAATGGAACGTACCATCCCTCATCTCACAGAGAAGAGTATACCTGTTAGGAATATGTAGTAGCAGGTGTTAAATTTACATGAAAATCATGTAGATTACATACAGAATAACTGAAATATTATGTATAGATCATAACTTGTTCACCCTTGCTTGGCATAGCATGTAATTTAAATAAGTGGTGCGGTCTGTGGTGGCACAATAATTAGTGAATGCAACGTTCCTAATTGCAGCAAGAATGTCCTGTTTAATTAGGAAAGAGCTCGGGGCTCTGTGCATCGGTCACCCTCCACCCCAGCTTCCAGATACCACAGCCTTGATTCAGCACAGGAGCCTCCCATGTGGGTACATTGAGTAAGATGTGGTTTAACGTGGATGGGATTTTTTAGCATCTTTTCTACTTAAACTTTCTTCCAGTTGTTTGGGCTTGGTTATGCCTAATTAGAGTCATTTCCCCCCTCTTATTCTGAAGCTTGCTGTGAGGTTAATGGGACTGTCTCTACAAGAGGGGAGATTTTAACATAACTTTCACAGAGAGAGCACCGTGTTTATGTTAATCTTATTCTATATCCAAATGCCAGGTGGCATGTTTCCCGAAGGCTTCCAACCCAAGATAAACACATTACAAACTACAGCTGTTCTTGCAGCCATAATCTTCCAGTTGTTGGCCTCTGTAACTAAAATTCATCCTCCTTTTTTCAGAAGAAATTTAGAACATTGGGCAATATGTAAAAATATATCCTTGGTTGCAGCGAATTCCAGAATCCAGATTTTGGGGGAAGAGAAATGCAGCTTTTAAATTATTTGGCTTAAGATACTACCTTGTATTCTCTCTGCAGACAGATAAGCAATATGTCAGAGAGGAGAGTAAATGTTTACACTTTGCTACTCTATCCCACGCAGGTATATAAATCTCTGAAAGCGTTTCTTGTAAATAAAGTGCTGGCAGAGCCCGTGTTTTCTATAGATCCTATCCACGATCATCTGGCTCTAACACATACCGTTATCCAAAATAGTCCCGATACCGAGAGCAGCCCGGTGCTCTTAATCCTCATTGACAGACACTTCACCCTATTTCTTCTCCCTTTATGCAAACAACCGAGCGCTTGCAGAATTACTAGCACATCTGTTCTCTTAACACGCTACGCTGCAGTTTTGCAGCAAAAGTAAATTAAATCGTATGTGTACAGTATGTGCTCATGTATCTATCTTTATCTACATAGATAAATTACATAAAGAGTGCATGCTAGGCTGTAATTTAAATATTTATAGTAATTTCTACAGACCAAAGAGATTCACAAACGTTTCTTAGCATTAAACAGAATAGAAAAAAACAAACAATTAAATATTCTTCAAAAATATTCTTTGACTTCTTCAAAACAGAAAAAGGCAGCAAACAGGAAGTACCCAATGAGAGTACTAGTTAACTAAAATATAGGCATGTAAGTGCTTCAGTTCCCAGATATCTGTGAATTAAACTATTTCAACCAGAAATAAGAAATAATCTGGAGAACTTATTTAAACTGGGACAATTTCATAAGAAGAGGAAAGAGATAAAGAAAATATTCTTGGCACAATTGCCAAAATACAACTGTAAAATATTTAGTGACCATCTCCCCATCATTTCTAGACAGATACAAAACTAAAACAAAAATAGGTTGGTTTGTTGCTAGTCACAAAATTTCTTGTGCTAAGTGGTTATAAATCCATTGGAATTTCTTACCTGTGCTAAGTGGTTATAAATCCATTGGAATTTCTTACCTGCAAAGTAGGCAAACCCTTAGAATGATCATTTTTTGTTATTCGTCAAAACTGCGTAGAAGTGAATATTCTGAACTGCACTGCTTCAAAGAACATATATGAAACAACTGTAAATATTCCAATTGGATTTAGGTGGTATGTAGGTAGGTACTTTTTTGGCTGAATTATTGAAACAGGTTGTCAATATAGTCAATTAAAATAATACCTCAATTACAATAGCAACAATTGAGAAAGCCAACAAAAACAAAACAGCTCAGAACATAACCTTGCAATGTTAAAGACATCCAAAAACATGAATGAGAATTTCACTGGATTTCAACAAAACTATTAGTTTACTTGTAATATTTTAGAGTGGCATATTGCAAGAGCTTTTGGATAGCTGTTGCTCGCCACTGTGCATTGCATCAAAATATGTCCTCAGTAACGACGTTTAGATTTTAGCTGGACCTAAATAATCATTCAATGTATCCACTATTAAACAACTTCAGTATCTTTTACAGAAGTAATCTGGAAAACTCTATCTACCTTCGTACCATTCTTTGCTGAAAGATGAAAATCAATAAGGTATTAACCATAATTAAACACACTAGTCTCTCTTCCTCTTTCTGTTAAGCTAAATTTGGAGCTGGTCTGGCACCAAAGCACATACAAGCAGAAATGTGGTCTGTGTGTTATATCTGTATTTCGCTTGCAACAACATTCAGGGAATTTAGGGATCACAAAATTTCTTTCTCGGAAGATAATTTTAGGTAAAATCATGCAGAGTGTACATTTTAAAACGTAGGCCATTTACTATTTAATTTTGACATAGAAATTAGAAGTTTTACATTTTGTAGATGCTATAGCCAAACTAAATAACCTAACAGGAGCCCTATTATTATGGCATTTTGTTGTGCATCATTAAAACAAAAACAAACCCAAACCTCCCTTATGAACTTTTGGAACCATATTTACAGTCGATGGGATTTTGAAAAACACAGGCATTAAAAATGTTGCTGGATAAAGGAATTATTGATCTGTTTTCTTCTTCCTGTATCTGAAAGTGTCCTATTAAGACAGCAATAGAGTATCAGAGCTTGGGGGAGAGAAGGAATAAAAGAATTCTAGCAAATTTGCTTTAGCCATCAGCTAGACCAAAAAAATATCTTGCTCTTGGAAAGTAAAATCAGGGTATATGTTTGCCACAGAGTGATAAATAATTAAAAAAAAACAAATCTGAGTTATTTCATTTCAATGCACTGCAGTTTTTCTTTTTAACATATCTTGCTGATTATTACAATGTTTCTGGAAGGCATTAAAACACTTTATAATTCCCAGTTCATTTTAAGGTAACTTCTAACAATTTCTGTACCTTTATGTGTAAGTCTAACAGTTCATATCTGTGTGAAGCCATGAATGGTAAAGCATAAAATTAGTATCAAGTGAGAAACGTCCTGCAGAAATGCAAGATAAGCTACAACTGACAAGAGGCACAGTAAGCTCAGCTACCATGGATGTTGCTTTAGAATTATCTGTACAAGGGACGTATGAAAATGATAATTTCTGAATTGGCTTTTTGTTATTCTAGACAAGGGTGAGTTTACTCTCATTATATGAGTGCAGAAGGGGCATACGGAGTCCAAGCCACTTTCCAGAGAGGAGCCTCTCTTACAGCGACTACAATTTCTTCTTCATGTTCCCTGCCCAAGAAATCTTTTAGCAGCAAATATAGTATCATGCTCATTTCTATACACTCTATGCTCCTTCTATGTACAAAGTAGTTTTACATTTTATTATATTCCATTATACAATTTTACATGGTACCGTTACCATTTCAATTCATAGTTTAGCAATTCAATACATACTTAGATAACTGCCTTTCCATGTACTGTTATACATTTAACCAAAAACAAACAAACAAACAAAATGTAGAAAACAAGCACAGTGGTGCAATGTCCAGGCACTTTCAATGTTGCTCAGCAAAATAAGTAAGCACCCTGTTTGAAAGCATGGTAACTTTTAGAAAAAGAAAAATGCTCATCATGGATTTTTTTAACATCTTTTGCACAGTTCCAAGTATTCCTGAGAAAGCTGTAAAATATCACTGGCATGTTTATATTTCAGCAGTGGGTCTAAGTGAACAGTAACCTCCATCCCCAGATGTTCCACTGATTGCACAGAAGACATGTAGGGAGTCATGCATCCATGGCGAATGCATTGTATCTTCGTGGTACATCTACACAAAACAAAACAGCCACAGATTCAGTAAAAGTCCAGTTCATTTTTAAAAAGCTGGATTATAATAAGGCATGCAAAAGAGATAGCCAACCTTGTCTTCAAAGCTGTTTCACAAAGGCAGCATAACAAAGAAATGAGAAAGAACAGTAATTCAGCAATTTCTGTAGCACGCATATAGACACTCTATTGTACAGCACTAGATAGTTTTCAGTTAAGACTACCCAACTTAGGAAGGAAACAATCCTCTCTGTGTGGCAACTTCTTCTTATAGCCTAACAATAACAGAATTGCCACACAGTCTTCTAAGAATTGCTCTCGAAGTAGCTGCTGCATTCGTTTTTTATCCTGTCCTTCATCAATGGGCTCAACAAGTTAATCTGCATTTACACTGCTGAAACTGAGATCCCTGGCCATCGTAAACAGTTTTTGGACACCAGTATTCTGTCACTCTGAGATTTCCTGCACTTACTCAGCTGCAGTTCACCATTTTGGGTTTTTTTTGGATAGGTTACAGGCTGATCCAGTGAGTTACCCATCTGCCAAAACAGATGTACAGCCTGCATGGCTTTGGAGGCCCTGGAAACACTTAGAAAAAGGTATATTATTTGTAATGAGAACCCTAAATGAATCTGATTTCCCTTCTATGTTTAACTGAGGAACTTTGCAAAGGGACAAAGTGCTTAACAATGCACAACCATGCAGAACAATCTTTGTAAATACTATGTTTTACACTGCCTCCAGATGTCACACAAAATACTTAAGAAAAAATGAAAAGTGTACCATTCCTGGCGAGCATTTTACTTTGATGTTTCAGTTGCTGTAATAATATTTTGCCCATTAGCCAAAGAGAACAAGGCAATGGATTTGAAAATACATATATAGGTAAAAAGCTGTGCTTTAATAATGCTTCTTTGTTCTAAGATAATCTTAATTATTGTATTGCTTAGATGCAAAACCATGATATTTGTTTTAACTTTGAATATGAAGAATTCAGAAACCACAAAAGTTCCAGCAGCTGCATGCAAATTAAACGCCTTGGAGAGGTTTACTTGCAAACATTTTAGAGTAAGCAGGTGGCAAATTCCTATGAACATTTCTGAGCAAACTCAGCAGTGAAATGAACTTGTCAATGTAAAAGTGGGAAAAAAAGCTGAATGTGCAAAATGAGTAGTTGGGCTACTAAGAAAAGGGTGGTATGGAGAGAATAGCAGGGAAATCTCATAGCAAAAGGGAGATAGAACAGTCACTTATCCCCATTACACTCCTACAGCAAAACTCATCACCACCATGAGACTGTGCTTTGTTTCCCTGAAATGACATTCTACTCACCTGTGCCAACACTCTATTTGATTCCTTTCAACATTTAAAATACGGGTCAATTAAGTTAGGACAAATACTTTAACAGTGCATATAAACAGCATGTTGGCTTTACGCCAAAATTCAAAGCAAATAACCTTCAGAGACAAACAAAAAAAGGAACTTAGGCAGGATATAACAAAGGAAACCAAACTTTTGCTCTCAAATTTTGACCTGTTATTTATCATGGGATTCTTACCACGTAGAGAACATGAGACAAAACATGGCACAGTGTTTCTGGTGGCCACAGCAAGCAGGAAACTACCAGTTACACGACCTGTGAGGACTCCACCCTGGAGCACACGGTACAGTGACACCATGATGGGGCTTTCAACCCACAGGAACTGGGTTGTTAGGAGGTCACCACGGGTATCATTTACTTTTTCACATTCAGTGACTGGTGTTTTTACGTTTTGCAAAGAGCACGAGGAGAAGCAGCTCCAGGGGTGTGCGGTACGTGCCTGTTCGTGGATGATGTCAGAAAGCTCTTTCACCATATCCCTAAAGTTTGACTTCAGGCCCTCGTGGTACTCCAGCTGGTCCTCCTTAATGAGCCGCTCGTTGAGGTCCAGGGCGATTCCGCAGGCTTGGATAAACTTCCTGCAGGTGAAAGCGATGAGCTTGTGGGATTACATTGTACACCAGCCCGGCAGGCAAAACCCTCAGCTCTCCTTTCCTCCAGGGTTCGGGACAAGTCAGGTCCTGGGGGGCAGCTCTGGCCCCATGGAGCAGGCGGTGGAGAGGGAACACTGGGCAGGAATGGGCTTTCCTTTGAGCCCAGGCTGGCAATAAGTGCAAAAAGGCACACGCACACCCGCAGGGTGACACGGTGTGACACAGGGTCACCCTTCCCACCTGCTCTGGCCCCACACATGGCTTGCAGGTCACAGATATGGTTTGCTAAAGGAAAACAGTCTGCTCCTTCCAACAAGTGTCCGGTGGGTGAACGGGAGTCACCGGCACCCAGCAAAGCAACGGGGGAGCTGGTGGGTGCCTGGTTGATCCTGGAAGCCCAGGACATGCTCTAGAAAGGCAGCTGGGGAAGCACATTGTCCTGAGGGCAAGTAGGAGCTGCCAGGGCACTCCTTATACAACAAGAAACACTTGGGCATTCAGCACCTGCTGATCTCAGGAGCAGGCAAACACGTAAGAAAAAACAAGCACTATATGCTAACCCTATGGTTAGTTTTTATTACATTAGAAATCCTACCTGAACATTTCTTTTAACTCATTCACCTTCTTAGCAGGATATTTGCTGGACTGGCTGTCACTTAGGAAAGCCCTAGCATAGGCCAAGGGACCAGCATTAACCTAAAAACAGAAGCAGTCATTTAAGCTTGAACCTAAGTTGAATTGCTGAAACAGTTATAAAAGTATAATAATTTTGTTATAATTGAAAAACATTATTTGAAGACCACCAACCTGGCACTATACAGGAGACGGCTAAAGTTTCTAAACATGAGTATTACTTTTTCTATCTTTTTTTAAACCTAAAGACAGATGGAGATTAAAAAAAAAAAGTAGTCTATTTCCTCATACTTTTTTCTTATTTCTGTTTAGAGAGCGATGCAGTCTTAAAGTCACATGCTTAGAGAAACCAGGTTCACAAAATGGCTATAGGTTTGCAGTACAATCTTCAAGAATTAAAAATATTTCAGCACCACCCACTGCAAACTAACGTGGAGATACATTTGTACTTGGCATTGCAAATACAACCGGAGAAAACACTCGCTGCCATGAGCCACCTGCTCAGGTACAACCACACGCAGCAGGTGCAGTTTTGAAGGCGAGATCATGGCTGCAGTGCTGCAAGCAAGGCAGTTAATCATTTCTGGAAGGTAAATGTGCTGCATTGCCTGGGGATGACTCACTCCAAGATGTGCATAGAAACGTAACCTTGAACGGAGCTCAGGTCTTACCTGCACAGAAACACAGCCCTGCAACTTGAGCTGCAGCTGGATCATATCGACATCACCGGCAGCGCAGAGTTTTTGCAGCTCTGCTGTCTTGTCTTTTATCTCGTCAGTAGCGACATCAATTGGTTTTAAATTAACCTGATGTTCATAATTGACTGGAATTCTCTTCTTTACATACGGAAAGGAGTTCGAGGCTAGCAGAAACAGCAAGTGAAGTTCATAGGTTGAAAAGCCTTTCAAGAAATGGGACTATTCTTCATAGCAAAAAAAAAAAATATATATATATACAGGCAAATCCTTGCCCTCTGAGTTTTACTCAGCGCACGAGAAATCCTGAAACAAGACTCTAATCTAACAGCATTACTTACTCATTTGTCAACATTTGCGCACAGAAATATAAGGATAACCTTCCCCCAACCTCCTCCCAAAAGTGAGAATAATTCATCACAGTTCTGACTAAAACTGAATTTCTGACTTGTTTTGGGTATTTCAATGTACTAAAACATTCTAAAAAGAGGTCCTGATACCTTCTGTCCCACATTTAGATGCTCATACTTACTAGTTAGAACAGTCCTTTTTTTACACTGTTCTTCCACACTGCCATGCTTTTTTCCAGATAAAGTATAAGGAGTTTCGAACACAAATCTATTGATATTGTGGTTTCTTTCAAATTCAGTCTTTCTTTCAGAAATTTCTTTGTCATCAAAGTAGGGCTTCACATAGGTCACTTGAATATGAGCATACTTAGGATCAAGGTCTTTAACATTTACCTGTGAGATAAGAGGATTGCTTACTAGAAGGCCAAAGGCTACGAACATCACAGATAATCAGTTAATTTAGTTAATTCATCTGCTGGGATCTGATGCAAATCCCTGCTGCTTTCAAGTAAATGATAGACAAAACTCTTCCTTTGACCCCAGCTGCGATGGCAAGGTGCTAAGGCCATCAGGTGGCAGATGCATGAGATATATGGACGTCTGGGATGAGAAATACCTCACCTGTTGCCAAACAAGGCACATCTGGAACAGATAATCGTATCACCGTATCAATCAGCGCTGCACATGCCTGACCTAGTTAATCCCAACACAACCACGAGCTGTGTGTATGCAGTACTGTGCCGTGGCATGCAATGCTGCAGGCTGGCACAAAGCAAAATCTGGGATCTCCAGCAGTGTCTGGAGTAACCCATAGTTGCAGCCCAAGGAAGTGCAGACCTGTGCCCTGAGGAAGCACAGGGAGTTACGGCTGTTCTGGGCTCCTTATTCAGTAGGATAACAGCAGGTTTTAGATGGGTAGGAAGCAGGCAGCCCACGCAGGAAGAGTTACACAAGAGGGATCTGTTTCCAGGGAATCCCCCAAACTGCACCATAAAGAGGGGGAATGAGCAGGAGGGTGAAAAGGATTTCCTCTTAGATATGCACTGACAAAGCAATGAGTAACCCTGTTTCCAACCATTTGCTCCTTTGGGCTGGGTCCTAACTCCTCCTGACAACAAGGCTGAGACGTGGGTTGCAAGTTTCCAATTTGTAATTCCCAGTTCATTTATTCCCACCTGGGAGCCAGATAGTCTAATTTAAAGCTCTGATGTTCACTGCTAATAGCATGTTTATTTGGTTTAATGCTACCTTGTTAGAATCCTGGATAATCTTTACAGTCTCTGATCCAAACTTTTCTCCATAAAGCTTAAGAAGTCTGAAGGAGATTTCCGAGAGGCCCGTCAGTTTGGGTTCTTTATAGATGTATTCCTTCCCATCTTCTTCTTCAAAGAATGTCTAGCATTAATTTCACACACACAAAAACACACACAAAAAACAAAGTAAGAAACAAATGGGTTTCCTCACTTGGGAAACATTATTTTAGATTTTCTGCTTTGAAAACAAGTTTATTCTAGCAAGAAGGTTTATATGATTGTGTCTTGCATAAAGTGTCATTGAATGTGGTTTGTTTAACAGGTTCCTTCAAAAACTGTATAAAAATGAAGTTCCTTAAGCAATGCAAGCATGCCATTGCTGAACAGAAAGGCTTGAATAGCACTGATGGGAAATCTAAACAATGGGGAAGGGGAGTTTGGCCAAAGGTTTTCTTTTAGGGAGTGCAGAGAGGGGCAACCAGGAGAAAAGAACCCCACAAAAATAAAAACAGAGAAGGAGTAGAAAGACACAAAAATTGAATGAAGCCTGAGAGCAGAGACACATGAAGAATCTAGAGAATATTTTGTGTAGGCTGAAAGGGACTTGAAGCAATCAAGAATGAAACGTGCTGCTTCTAGTTTGATTCCTCTTGCACTGAGAGAAGTGGAACTTAGTGCAGATGTTGTAAATAGAGACAAAATGACACCAACAGCATCTGCCTGCATTGTCAATCCTCCCTGTAATGGGAACAACCTGAAGGCTTCAGCCTTTGGCCAGTTATTCCAGCTAGAAGTTGTGACAGAATATTAAAACTATCTCTCTATTATTGACAAATAAAGCTGGCAAAGCTTTAAAACAAAAAAACTGGATCAAATATTGGTCACCAGGATACTACTTTATGTAGCTTAACTGGAGGAGCAGCAAACTAAACTCTAGCAGCTGTTTCTTTTTATCTGTCGTTAACCTTATTTGCCTTGTAAATAACCAAAGATGAAGATAAGACAAGGCCAAAAATAAAACTTATACTGCTGTAGCAAAAGCTAGTGCTCAGATATGTTATATGTGTAACAGTGGTGGTATTCTTGTGTCCAGGCTAGTTTCAGGGGTATACATCACCTGTCTAGAGGAGGGGACCAGGAAAGACAGGGCTATTATCATTTACACAACATTTTCTAAAGAGCACTTCTGCATCTCCCCCAGCATTAGGGGTTCACAAGCAGAAGAAAACACATGGAATGTGGGAGATGACACATTTTATTGGACCAATTGATAAAGCTGGAAGAAAGGCAGCTGCTTTTAGGCACAGAATATTCTAAGAGGTCTGATAAGCACATACTCCTTGGAACTCCAAGCCCAAATCTTTTCGATTTCTTTTTTCCAATGACTTCAGCTAGTCTAACAAAAAATACCACCTAACCCTACAAACTTGTAACTGACACTGCACTACATATGTTGTGCTCCCTGTTTCTCAGGTAACCATTTTAATCTGCTGATGTCTGTAAAAGAGCAGCAATTTTCTGTAAATTAAAATATCTGTTACTAATACTAGTTATATACTATATACTGTGGTATTATCAGTTATATACTACACAAATGGACACTGTGGTATTATCAGTTATATACTACATACTAAATGGATTTGTGTAAATTATAATAATGATTGCACAGAATGTGGTTTTCTGAACCTTCTAAGCCATTTCCTAACTGCTGAGTTGCTTTGTGAAAATCCTATCGGCAGATCACAAGCTTAACAATAATGAAGGGCTCCTAGAAAGGCAGAGAAACACTGGCCTCAAGAATGTCATATTAAAATGGTTATGTACACACTCCCGTGGCTGCACCCCAAGTAGGTAGCAGGCTTTTCAGCTGCAAAGCCTCACAGAAGAGCAGCTTTCTGGGCCAGGTGAGTGGTAAACTGGCAAGCTGGTTTATACACTTACTTGTCCATAAAAGGCCACTCTGAAGAAGGTTCCAAGCAGCCTCTTCCTTGAGTGCATTACCTCCAGTATCTTCGCATAGGCTCCATGAAGTGTTCTGTACAGCTGAGTAAGTTTCTGGAAATCAAACCTTGACATCATTAAAACAGAATTACACAAGCAGGAAATTATACATAAAACACTGGAAGCTACTGAGATATCTGAATCCAATCCTATGGGGACTTTGGACTAGAATTTTTAGAGAGGCTCATTTTTCCTTTGGAAAAAACCTCATTTTTAAACACATGCTTAGTTTCCGGTCTGAGAGGTGCCACTGATTTCAAATAAAGCCGCTAACCTTAGAGATAAGAACTGATAATAAACTGAAAACTGAGATAAGAAGAAACTGAAAATTGCGGTAAACCTGGAGTCTCAGCATGCTCCTAGACTAAGCCTTTAAGAGTAGAACAGTTTGCACTATTATAGCCAAAAAATCTTTTCTGATTGAAAACAGCCTAATGACATAAAAATAGATCAAGGCTTTTCCTAGCTTCAGTTATACAGTTGGACGTTGTCCTTGTGTGGAAGGGGATATGGGAGAGGAGGGAAAGTGAAGCACTAGTCTGCAGTCCAGCAACACCTGCTCTGGAGCGAGGATCATAGCAGGGGATGGGAAGTGCAAAGAGGAGGATGGGCTGGTGACAACTTCCTTCCTCCAACACTTGCTGCTGAATTATCTGCAGATTTAGTCCTCTATTTGAGCAGATCTTACTCTTTTTTAACCTTAAAGGTCTGAAGTCTTTATGCATTAAATGACATAAAGAATCAGTGGCTTTGATAAGGGCACGGGATGTAGGAGGACAGTAGTATATTGGGGAGAGGGAATTATTACCTAATAGGAACCTTCTCGATCTGGAAATGCTTTAACTTTAATGATTACATTCCAGATTATTGCTGGACACATAGTAATGACACACAGTGCTTTACTGACAACAAGCCATTAACTCATAATTTCTGAAATAAGAAAAAAACAAGAAGCTTTTTTAGCCATCTAGGAAATTACTTGAGCTGTACAAAAATGCCTACCTCAAATTCACGCCGCTTTTCATAGATAGGAATGATCAATTTGGAAACTTCAGAAATTGTTTCATAACGCTCTGCCTTCCACAGGCCATCTATACATTGCTCCAGCAGCTCCACTAGCACTTCCTATGACAGCAACCAAATTGGTGGTGTTAATAATAAAGTCAAAGTTGGAAGCTTCACATAGTTCAACACATTTCAGAACATGTTCCCACAACTCCAGACGTTTAAAATCTGCGTGTTCCTGGCCTTTTCAGAGGTATTTTAAATTTCAAAAGGTAAAGAGCTGAATTATTTTAAACAAATTTCATTTTTAATAAACCATGGGCAAGTATGTTTATTTAGCTACCTCCTGATGTACTTACACAGGTAAGAAACGTGTAAGAAATGTGTGCAGTGGTAAGAACAAGTGCTGCTGAAGATCCTCAAACCTAGCCTTGATGAAAAGACAATCTAGCCGTGAGGTTGCAGGGCCATCTCGCTCTGCCTTGCCCACCCAACACTGATGCACAGGGATGCAGAATTAATTGTGAGGCCTCACAGAAGGATTGCTCTCCACTGTCCTGATTCCCTATTACGTTTTCTGGAATGTTCTGCCGATGTGTGTGTCCCTTTGTCAGGGCAGGACTGTATTTGACTCACGTTCTGCTCCTCCTTGAAAATTTGGTGCTGCAGTGCCCTTGGCCAGCAGAATTTGCATTTGCATAACGTGGCAGGCAAAGTTTGTGGTGCAGCCTTTTCAGTCTTAGTATTAGAGAAGTCTTTCAAAGGAACCAACAGCTTGTACCAGTTTTACTAACCAGAACTTTACCCCTAAAATCCTTAAACAACCTTTCCTCTTGTGAAATTGTTACAGAATACTTTTCCTTCCAAGTGCCAGTGCACGGCTATAATTTATTACAGCTCACACACAAAAAGATCCAAAGCTAAATCCTATCAAATCTTAAACCTACAGGTCTGCATTACAGCACCTCACCTCACTGTAATGTACATCCATCATCCCCCCATCTTCTTTCATTGCACCTTCTTCATCTATGTTGGGAGTGATTTTCCTGAAGGCAGAGCACCCACTGGAGAAGAGTTCTGTGGAGGACAAAAGCAAATCACTTTACAGAATATATCTCAAATGCATCACACTTCAAGAGCCAGCCAAGTAGTCTAGCTGGTAGGGAGATCCTACAAGCAGCAGGAGACCTGATTCCCATTTTTGCCACTGATTTGCCACATGACAACACAGCAGAACCCGCTTGGCCATTCTTCACGGGAGTCACTCCTAGTATGTCACCAGCATGAAGGGCAACAGATCTTTCAGCACGCTGTGTGGTGGTCACCTTTAATCAACCTAATGGGCTGCAACTCACTGAGTTGGGCAAGACAAGAGTACATTTCTGAACAGAAGATCTGAGAAAAATCTATTACCAGATGCTGGAAAGCTGGGTGGTAAGAGAACAGGCTGTCAACTACAAGAAGGCACATTTCTTTATGCACTCTCAGCTTTGAGTAATTTGGCCTACATATGTGTAAAGAGTGTCAGTAATGGAGATAGCTCATTGCATTCTCTCTATATCCCTTCGGACTTGTTCCTCTTCTAAGTTCTTGTTTTAAAGCTGGTTTTGGTCAGCAGCTTCCAATGTATAAATAAAGAATAACTAGCTTTCAATCCCCTCTGCTCTCTAACTATGTAACATACCTATCAAAAAATTAGTATACATATCAAAAAGAAATTATGATTTTTCCCACTTGGTTAACACACAATACATAATTTGGAGGGACTTCAAGTCCCCTGAGCAGGACACTCAGAGACCTTCCTGTCAAAGGGAATGTATGTTATCAGCTTTTACAGGCCCTTAACTTTCTGCTACCTTTTAAATGTTATGCCATTTCAGCCATACTCCATCCATAGAAATAAGAAATGGGGTAAATACATCAACTGTTAAATAGATATTTAAAAGAAAATCTGCAAAACGGTGCTACTTTAGAGTGGAACAGTCTGCCTTTACTTCCTGTTTTGCATTAAACCACAACCCCTTTTTTTTCCCCCCCCCCTCTGGTGGGATTACCTATTTGTATAGTTAGGGTACAACCTCATTTTTTGACTGAAATCCAACTATAGTTTTGTGTACCTATAGCGATACTTCTAGTGTGATGAATATACTGAGAGTCAGTTTTTAACAATTGTTTCCCCTTCTGAGCACGTTTCCTAAAGCGAATACATGCGAACACTTGAACTGAGCTGCATCCGTTCTTATTTTACTCAGCAAAATGTCATTGTGATTATCTAAGTAGAACCGATCAGCCTAGTAAATGCCCTTGCTTGAAAATCCGGATTAATTTCTTTAAAAAAAAATCCCCATCTTTTGCCTTTGTCAGCCCATGGTGCATTATTATTATTTCCTTTTTAGCTTGTTTAAAAATGCTCTACAAATAATCATTTACCAAATCTTACCAAATTACCAAAAAGATTCTGATCCCCACAAAACCCAAGGGCAAAGTCACGACACTGCCTTTGTGCCTCTCTAGCAGCAAGCACTTACTTTTCCTGTGAAGAAACTCTGCAACGAGGGCTGCTACGTGAACATAACACATGGCTGCCTGGAAAGTACAAAGGGAAAATTAAAATGTCATCTGTACATCTGTCTTTTTGTACACCGTGGCTTTAATTACACAATTACCTCTGAAAAGTCTCCATTTTTCACATGAATCTTTGCCATGCTGTCCAGCCAAGTTTTGCGGAGCTCTGGAGTGCTTGCATAAGATTTTGCTAGACTGTACTGTAGGTCTATCAGCATTTCTGGGTCCTTTTCGTGTTCTTTCATTTGGGCAGTAGCCATGAGCACTGTACGGATTCTCTTTGTCAAATCTTTGACTTCGGAAGGAAAAGCAGTTGCCTGACACAAAACAAAGCTAGTTAAAAGCAGACACAGACATAGAAGGTGTTCCAGCCTTTGGCAAAGATAGTCCATCCTTACCCTTTGAGCCAATATTCCACTTACTAACGACCTGAAAATGCAAAGCACTGGAGATAACTGCAGCTTTTACTTTTTGAACTCGCTCTGTGTATAAGGTAGAGCATTACATATGCAATGACATGCATTTTACTCTGGGTATGCAAATCCTATTGATTTTCGGGCTGATCTCTCCTGGTCACGCACAGGGTGTCAGGCTGGTTATTCCTATGCTGGCTTGAGGCAGGTACCTTGGTAACCTGCTGAGTTGGTGTGAGAGCGAGACGAAACTGCTCCAAGCATGTGAGCGTCACGGAAAGGGGCTTTAAACCATTCCTGAACTAGCTTTCAGTTCATTTAACCACCGGCTTGTTAAGTCTCTGATGTGGTCACTCTTGACTTCCTACAGAACCAAAGAGCTGTATCTGTAGAGCTTCTCACCGTAGGAACGTAAAATAGGGAAAGTGGGAAAAAACAGTTCATCACAGAATTGCAGGCTGTAGTCAGACCCCTCCTCGGAGCAGGGTGAAGATAAAGCAGGCTGAGTAGGGCACGTGCAGCCAGGCTCTGATAACTTCTAAGGACACTGATTCCACCTCATTTCAGAGCCCTGCTCTAGGGCTACACCAGTCTCTTGGGGAAGAATGTTTTTTCTCCATGGAATTCCCCATGCAGCAACTTGTGCCTATTGCCTCCTATCCTGTGACTTTGGAGTCTGACTTCATCATCTCTACAACTCCCCTTTAGCAGAAAGCAGTAAAGTGTAGCTCCATGAAACCCGTTTAAATAATCATCTCTGCACAGAAGAGAAACGAGGTCTTTGTAGGGTATATCCTAAGTATAATTTTATTATATCACAACTCAAGCCCTAACTGTGGTTCTCATTTCACCTTTAGTTCACAGGATGATGACACCACTGTAAAATACTTTCCACTTTTTTCTGTCTTAAATCTGTAGTTATAGGGTGCACAACGGAGCAGGCTGTAGCAAGTGTGTATTGTTCAGTGGGTTGGGTAGAAGCCATTCATTTTAATACTTAAGGTAGATAGTTGTTTCCCAAAGGAATAGGGAGAGCAAAGTAAAAACACATCACAACCACTAATCCCTGGGAGAGGGGGCTTTCTCCATATTGCTGAAAATCAACTAGTTGATTTTGTTTCCAGCTAATCGATACTTCTAGGCAGTAGAAATGCCAGGGCCTTCCTCATCATCCCTCTCAATGCTGTAGGTTCTTGGAAAGCTCTTTGGATAATCTTGAAAGCAACGTGCTGAGCAAAGCACAAACTGAATTACAGCGCTACCTCCTTTTGGCTTTAAGCCTGATGGACGGAACACGATCTTCTATGCAGCTGGCCATATTGCTGTTGGCATAATCTTTGTTTACTGAGCAAACAGAGCCCAGTAGGAACTTATAAATCATACAATTCCATTCATTAGCTTTACCCTTAAACACCATTTCCTTGAGTGCTTCCCCACTCTCACCCCCAGTAGCTGATAGCCCATGACATGATTTATTTTCCTCAACTTACCTTCATAGGCCTGTCACTGTTGGCAAAGTTGTTAATGATGAGCAAGGAGTCCTGAAACCTTGTCCCACCACTGAGTGCCACATCGGCTATTAACTGGCTCACTGCAATTATTATCTGTTGGGAAAGAGCAAGGGTTTTATTTAAACAAGTCCTTGTAGAGGTGTTTTACTGTCACAGTTATATAAGATGTTTATACAAAAAGATCACGTCTTTCCCACAGTGTAAGCGATGGTTGTTGTGGCTTCCCTGTCGCATCTCCCAGGGACAAATAGTCTCCAGAGTACTTGCTGAACAGCAAGTTCACATGATCCGTGATAAAATGTTCTTAATACTAACCCTAATGAAGTAATTAGTACATCACTTTTCTTCTGTGACTTATTACAACCCAAAGGGTGTTCATCTGCCCATCTAGATATCTAATTTGCCTCAAAAAAAGCAGCATTGCAAAAGCAGCTCCAGAAAAACAATTCCTCTTCCTGAGCCAAAGGCAGCTCTTCCTGCTGTCCTTCCAACCCCATCCCAGTCCGCCTCCAGGGCAGTGATGTGTCTTTTAACCATGATTCCAAAAAATCAAAAGCTTGGAGTCTGACTGGGCCAATCAGTGAAAGAGAAATTAAGCAAAGCCTGGAAATCAAGAGGATTTTTGACCAAATAATGGCTATGTTTGCTCTTTTCAGATGCGTGTGAGAAGTTTCTCTGGAAACATTAGATGACATATAGCTACTAGGCCAGTATACAGTCAAGCTCTTGAAATATGAGTTCATGAAACTGGAGGTGGACTGCTCTCTACTTGTTTCCTGTTCACTGACCTGAAGATGTGTTCTCAGAAACGTTCTCCTCTTGGTGAACTCAAAGTTATTTCTCATCAGGAGATACAGAAGGGCAGAAGCCTCATTCCTGGTGGAGGCCAGCTTTGATGTGCAGCACTTCAGGATCTCGTAGCAGAGGGCAGCACACATGTTCACCCTTCCCTTGAAAAACGCTGAGGGAAACTTCACAAGACATACACGAGCATTAGAACAGATAAATGACACCCATGGTGCTCAGAGGGATGGAGGAAGAGGGGTTACACATCGCGCTCCAGCCTGAAGGGCCTGTACAAAACCTTTGCCAGAGTTCTGTGCTGAAAAGTATTTGTGGGAATTAATCCAGGGCCTGTTTTTAGGCATGTTTCCTAAAGCAATGAGGAAGGGGTGACCTCAGCCAGGCCTGAGGAGCAGGCGGCCGCGGCGGCCTGGCACACGACTTCCCCCGGCACCGGCCGCAGTGGGGTTGGCACGGGAAGCAGAACAAGGAAGGGTCTGGCCACGGCATGTAGCCACGGCCGCACGGGTGGCACCAATGCTTCCTGGCAGGGAAACGGAGGCCGTTTGGGCATTGCGTGTGGTGTCCCTCCGTGGAAACGCTCTGCTTTCAGTGGCTGAACCCCTTGGCTGTCACTGAAGGAGCCCTGGGGTCCCCAGGCCTCTGCTCACTGAGGACACAGCGGTCCTCATGGCCCACCCGCCACCTCGGCCTGTCTCGGCACCACCTCCTGAGGGGACATGATGGCAAATACCACCAGGGAATTCAGCTGCATCCGCCATGTCCAAGCCTGGAGCCATTACCACATCTGGGGGAAAATCTATTCATGGGGAACCTACATGCCAGGTCAGCTCCCTTTTGGGAGATGAATCCTGAGCAGGCACAAACCCTGTTGGTGCCAGGGTCGGAGCGGCGCCCAAAGGGTTTCTGCCTGCTGAAGGCCTGGCCAGGTGCTCCCAGCTGGCAGGAGAACGTGAGCTGGAAAGTGCTGGTAAGGGGATGACGCTGTGCGCCCGGGTATGGAAACCCAGCAGGAGCCAACGCAGCGAGCGGATCCCAGCCAGGCACAGGGATCCTAAACACAGGCCAAGCCAGACTGCTGCAGGGCAAGTCACCTGCGCCTCCACCCTGCACGTTTTCCTTCACAACTTTTAATTTATGACCATTCTCCAACATGCAAATATGTGTTTTGCTGTAACCGACACTCTGAAAAGAAGGATTTGGATTTTAAGACAAACTTAGGGTATAAAACAAAAGCAAGCTAGCTTTTATTGATTCTTCCCAGTGAATAAAATGGAGACAGCTTCCTTCCCAAATTCCTGGCACACATGCAAGCAAGCCACATTCATTTTAAAACCAAAACCAAACATGCAAACAATTACAGACCCGGGTTTTCTGCACTTTCTCAAGATTTCTTTTTAAGTTTTTTGCCTATCAAATAATCATGTTTAATGAAGAAGAAAAAATATTTTGAAGATGGAGTTTGGAATGCAGAGTAACAATGAAACCAGGAATTTTTTCTCCTCCAAAATCCAGCAGTGACAGACGCCAGACTATGCAACACACTACACGACACCAGATAAGAGAGGGTTTGTTTCCAATGTTATTACTAGCTACAGAAAGCATAAAAATAACCACTTTGTCCCTTTTGACTGCCTCAAAGGCATAGTTCACTTTTTTTTTTTTTTTT